TCTCCTTTGATTTGTGCTCAGGGAGGTGCCAATCTCATAGAAAGCAGGATGGACGGTCCCCTGGAGTTGGGTGATGCACAGCCCAGCTCACAAATTGCAGAACTGTCTGGGTCTGGGTCATTTGCTTTAAACGAAACCCTTCCAGCAGAGCCCAAGAGAAAAAGAATTTGTAAGTGTTACAGGGGAACCTCACACAGGAAAAGAAAATAGAGCTAAGGACCAGATGGTCACTGGAAGCCAAGGCGACTGCACAACCCCGGGGGACGCCATTCGTGCCATACTCTCTGGGGATGTGGTCCCGTGAGATGGCACAGCGCCGCGGTACTGCTCTGCAGCCCTCTGTGGGGCTGCGTGGTCCATGGCCTCTGTCATTCCACATGTCTGCTTCCTTGTCTCTCAGTAGACCATCCTCTCTGTCCATCATTCTATGGACATTTAGGGCCCACCGAGGTTGTCAGATTGGAGACCTCAGCCCCTGAGCCTGGAGCCTTTCAGCAAGTCTTCCTACTTGTTGATACCCTTATGTCCCAGGTCTAAATTCCCACAGGAAGGAATCTGATTGGCCCAGCCTGGATTAATTTCTCCTTCTAGCCCAATAGCAGGAGACAAGGGATAAAGGTGGGGTGACCTGGTAGGGCTTCCCCCTCCAGTAGTGTGGGGGTCTCTCACAGATGCCCCCGCTTATCTCAGTAGAGGTTGCACCATCTCAGATATTTCCCAAAGCAAGTTTTGACTCAATTCAATTTAAACACACATATCTCAAGCAAAATTTACATAAGCCATTCTGCTCTTTTTTCAGAATAGGTGGTGTGTGACATTTATTCAACACACAGTAAACATTCTGAGTGTCCCTGCTCAAACTGGAATCATTCCCAAGGGTAGATATTTTTGATACTTTATTTCCAGTCTAAATAGTGTACAATTGAGCCTATACTAGTACATGTACAATCACTGGGAATTCTGAGTTAAATCCAGCATAATTAATCTGTGCTGAAGCGGGGGAAAGGGGAGGGGAATCCTATAGCAGGAGGGGCTCTTGAGAGAAGCCTCATAGAAGGAAAGCAGCTTCTCCCTGGGTAGAAAGAGGCCGCACCAAGGCTGTGGAGAGGTATATACCGATAGGAATAGCTGAGACCAAGACAGGGATGACACCCAGGGGGAATTTCTTTCTCTGAGTGCTTTTTTTTGAAAACAATAATTGGTATTTAGGCAAATATTCATATTAGTGCCTTGAATAGAAAGTTATTTGCAATGGAAAGAATCTGTTCAAATATGGAGGGTGCAGCTTATTCTTTCAAAAGCCCTTAAAACTCAAAGCCTGCAGGCCCTTTTTACTTGTCTGAGTGCCGCCATCTAATGGCAGCCATTGGAACTGCAGGTATCATGTCTGGAGGACAGGCACTGCTTGTATGCAATAAATCAAACTTGGTTAGAGGGTGATAGATATCATAGTAATGATTTAGTACTAATTTAAAGCATAAAATTTAAAGCCGTTTCCCTTTAAAATATAAATGGAGTGCTTTAAAAGTGTCGTCCCCCCCACCACTACCACACTCCCTTCTTTGTAGACCCACTTGCGCCCTGTATGCCTTAAGTTGGAGTTTGTCTGGCCACAGCCCTCAGCAGTTGGCAGGCCCTAGTTGGTGCCAGCAGCCTCTCATCACTGACCTTTTAATGTGTGCAGAAATCTAAGCCGATGCTGGCAGCCAGCTCCTGGACTGCGCACATCCTGAGGCTCCCGTGGAAATGGATGGGGTGGGAAGAACACCAGGCTGGACTTTGGGAGCCCTGGGCACTGTTTCCACTCTGCCACCAGCAGACTGTGTGACCTTGAGCAAGTCACTTTTGCTTTCTGGGCCTCAGTCTTCTCATCTGCAATGAGTTTGTCTAGACCAGAGATGACTAGGGGAAAGCTGCTGCCTAGAGCCTTGTTTTGTTAGTTTTTGAGGCAGCTTCCAGACTCAGTGGGAAAGAGTGCCATGATCAATTAGTGATGTCTGCCCTGGGCATAGACCAAGAGAATGGTCTGTGGTGGCCAGTGTGTCAGACATTTGCTATCCCTGAACCCAGTGACCTGAGAAGCCCCCTTCTTCCCCGGCCCTGAGAAGGCAGAGTATCCTGTTGCTCAGGAGACCTGTGACTCTTCTCTGCATCCACTCAGCTCAGATTCAGTTCAGGAGAGTTTGTACAAATATTTCAGCCAGAGCAGAGAGGCATTCTTTCCCAATCTACTGGGGAGATGAAAGGGATTTCTTTTTCTTTTGCAAGCTAAACCTGTTTCTTTAAAAAGCAGGAACCTCAGAAGAGGTTGGAGGTCATGAATACAATCTAGTAAGAGCCCAGAGAAGTATAAATATGTGGACAATGAAATGTGCTCTGTTAGCCTATCAAGAGTGTGAGCAGCCACAGTGTTGTAAAGCGGCATCTCCCTGAGGGTGTTCAGTGGGTGCTCTATACAAAAGGTGCTCCGCTGCCCCCCTGGACAGCCTTGGGTTAGAGAGTCACACAGCGTTTTGTCACTGCAGGATTTCCAAGAGGCTTTGCTAAGATACTGTGTATCCTAAGCCTCTAAAAGGGAGCTGGAGTACACAGCATTCCCTAAACATCTTTGAATATGGGACCTGGCATCTAGCATCATGACAGACAAGTCACGAGAATACATTTCAGAAATGTATTCTTGGCTTGGCCCTGGAAGAGACCTGCCAGGAAAGATAGAAGAAATAGAGAAAATAGTACTTCTTCCATACAGACTGCCCTGGTCAGCACTGTGGGTTTTTTCTTTCATACCCTTGATATCATTAGAGTTTCATGATAACTTTGGGGAAAGGGGAGGCAAAGGACAAAAAGAACTCTGTGTATCGAGCACCTGGTATATGCCAGACAGTGAGCAGGGCACTGGAGGTCTGTCTGCTCATTCAAAATGCCTCACAGCCCTGGGAGGTACATATTGTTAACTCCACTTTACAGATGATGAAACTGAGGCTTGGAGAGGTTAGCACACTTGCAGAGGTCTCAAAGCCTGTGGATATTAAGATGAGGATAGCGAACATTCATAAAACACTCACCATGTGTCAGGCATTGTGCTGGGCATATAACATGTGTTAACTGTGTTCATCCTCATAACAGTCCTGTGATTATTAGGAGGAGGCTGAGGCGCAGAGAGGTTAAGTAACTTGCTCAGGGTCACCCAGCAAGGAAATGGCAGGACCAGGATTCACACCCAAGCAACAGGACTCCAGAGAATCACCATTACTCTGGGAATCCTCTATGTAGTTCCCCCCAAAAGCATATTCGTCTCACCGGCGGCACCAAGAACACCAGCCTGGTAAAGGAGTGGGGTTGGGCAGGACTTTCCCCCAGGACCACCTCTGTCACAAGCTTCCTGGCTGTGACTTCTGTGGGTCACTCCAGGCCTCCTTCCCTCCCACCCCAGGCTGGCGGCCATCGCTCTCCTGGTCCTGGATGAAGAGGAAAGTGCCTTCTGGTGCCTGGTGGCCATTGTGGAGACCATCATGCCTCCTGACTACTACAGCAAGATGCTGACAGCATCCCAGGTGAGCGGAGCAAAGAGAGGACTTAGGGGCTATGCAGGTTGGCCGCTGAGGTGTTCCTGCAAGCCGGTGACTCTCAGAAAAGTCAGGGATCTCTCAGGCCTCCATTTAGCCCCTCTGTATAGTGGGCCAGTAGCCCCTCCCTGGGACTGCTAGGAAGTTCCAATGAGCTGATGACCTTTAGCATTGTTGGGGCCCTGCTCACGGGATAGACTGTTACTCCAGTGGTGACGTTATGTCATTAGAAACGGTTTTCTGGAGAGGGGAGAAGAACATTTAGTGTCATTTGCTATTTGCCAATAAAGAATTTCAAAACAGAGGTCAGGTAGCGTGGAAGATGGGCCTGGGAGGATGGAGGAGGTGATGATTCTTCACACACGTTCGTCTCCTG